TACCGGCGGTTTAAAACCACCCACGTGACAGGCTCTCAACCAATAGGAATTGGTGAACTGTCCCGGGTATTTATGAATGTCAAGTACAAACAGTGAGTGTGACACCATATCAACACCATAATTTACCACCCCATGCCCACACTGTGGTGCAGTATAATGTCATGCAACACTAAACAAACAATGAAATTCATGCCCAATCCATACATGCACCGATTTCATTTCATGGACAAATCGAGCTTGCAGGAAGGAAGGACTCCATGTTGCAAAAAAGGTTTTGCAAAAGGAAGGCAAAAACTAGACAGAATCCGGTCCAGTGACACTGAGTTGCAAACAACAAGGACACAGTGATCTCATTTTAGTCCTAACACCTGGTGACATGCAGTAAATGCATTACGAATTGGAGACATGTATTGACAGGGATATGGTGATTGTTTCAGTACATGATGTAGAGGGATTAAAGGAGCACTCACAATGTAGCCTTCGAATTATAATCCCTTTAAAGGGTATCTGATTGGATGCATTAAAAAGTAACACATGACTTGTATCGCCAGTGAATATATTGCATGGCGTACAAGTCTGTATGTTTCTGTGTTGGGAATGCGACTGTACATGTAGTTCATGGGGCATCCACATTTGACATTGTATTCTGAGGGATTCCAATGGTAGAGGGTGGCACTGGAAGCGGTGAAGCGGATACACTGTTACACTGGAGACCAAGCTAGGGTCGGGGGATGCTGGATGATCAGTCAGGCATGTCAGTGTGCTGGAAGATGATAATTGTTTGTGCGTTCTTTCGGCCAGACAATTAAATCAAAACTTGTTGGAACTATGATAAATGGTTGTTAATTGTTCAGTGTCTGACCATAAATTCTCCCTTTGAACGCTGTAAGATTTTAATCTTTAAGCCTTCAGTTAAAACGGAAGTTCTCTTTATATTCATATTCAGAGCAATATGTACAACCCTTTCAAACCCTGCGGGTCAGTTTCAGGCGAAGGTAGTCACCACAGAGAGTCACTGCACACAAACAAAATCAGCACTGCAGAGAGCAGTGAAGCGTGACTGAGTCTGCCTGCTTGCCCTGAGCTTAATCACAAAAGAATTGTGCAGGATTCGCCTCGTCTATTCTTAGCACGAATCTACAGTTCCTCGTCCATTCTCTATAACTGAATTTGATGTGTGGGTGCTACTGGTAACTCTGGGCAAAAAGTGTATTGGAAAACTGTTGTATTAAAGAGAAACAGACATGAAGCAAACACAACAACACACCATCTGTCCTGCAGTGTCTCTGCGCCTGTGTTTTTCTGAGCTAGTCCCTCCTTTTTATTAATGGTTCTTGGGGGAAGCCATTAGCCTGTTTTCCTGTCCCTGCAGCTGCTGCAGTACTGGGTCAGGATCCGGCCTTATAAAACACTAAGCATCCTTTCCCCTCACTGTGTACACACTACTTAAAGGGACTTGTACGGAGGCCATTTCTTTCGCAGAGTGGCACTCTCAAATAGGCTTAAGACTTTTGTTCAACCAATTTCCGGTGAGTTTAAAGAGGTACCGTAGTGGCTGATTACTGTGTTCATTTTACACGTACTTTACAAAATATGCAGTTTTTTTATTGCTATTTCATTTGAATGTGTAGGTGTTTATGAAATGTGGGTTATTAAAAGATTTTTGTTTTTATTAATGTAACAACCAATTTTTAATTATTTTTTTTTTAATTTGAAGAGATGTTCATGTGTAGAATACCGGTGCACGTGTATGCAAAGTTTTAGCCTAATTGGACAAAGGGTTTGTAAATATCGTTATTGATACATGTATTCCATATTCCTGCTTATAAATCCTACACTATCTGTCCTAGCAGTTCACAAATATTGCTCTTTAACTCAAACAACATTTCTCTTGCTGTAATTTTTATATATGGATGGATTTGGGGGTTAGTATTTTATAGAAAAAATATTGTTACACTGATCTGTTTAAAAATGGTGTTTGTAGATGCTGGAAAAACCAAGAAAAAAAAAATCTGTTTTTGTATAGTTTGGTTCCCGGACCCTACATGTACTTCGGATGAAACGGAGCAATTTATAGACGTCAGAGAATCGCCAGATCGGGAAACTAGCTGCCTTGCACCCGTTCACGGATGTGTAATTGATTGCAAACAAAATATCGACTGGGACAGTATTTGAAAAGTTTTTTTTTTTCGACCATCATTGGAAATTGATACAAAAATTCCACTTTTCCTGGAAATGACAGCACACCAGGTGCCATGATTTTACATGATGCTTGAACCAATTATTCACTTACAGTCAAGTATTTAAGGTAGGCCTACTTCATTATAATTTGGTAGATTTGTTTTTTGATGTTTTCAAATGTTTTATTCCCTTGTAATACACACATGGCAAATGAAAGAAAAGAACATTTTTTTTTTCAGTATCCCTCCTCAAAAATGCTGCATCCCATTTTTAGAAAATTGGTGTTAAACGTCTGAATAAAGAAAAACAAGTCTGCAACAGAGAATGATTGACTTTCATATCATTCTTACTGTGCTGTATTCAGTGGTCATTAATTCAACATGCTGCCTTTAGCTTGACTTCCTCTCAAAACAGATCAATAGATGCTTAATAGTCATGTGTACAGTCACACATGTATGGGACTTATAACGGTCACATCTACTGCAAATTGACATTTAAGGTACAAAGTGAGACGTCTTTTTTTCCCCCTTTCTTTTGCCCGTGGGTCAATAAGCTACCGGAAGCGAGTGAAATATGAATCCCCATCTAAGTGCGAGTGTGTTTAGACTGGTCACCCGGAAATTGGTCTTCAATTTATTTAAACTTTGCATCGTGTTAATTTACCAGTCCTTGCGCTGTCCGGCTATAAATCAAAAACACGGTCGGTGGGGCGCCATTGTAACAACACTGAACCGCGACCATGCGAACTGAGTAGGCAATTGCAAATATTTTAAGGTTTGAAAGATTTGTTGAGTAAGGGTTGTACAAATACTGGTATATATTTACAAAAAAATAAAAATATTGCAGCTTTGACATTGAGGTAAATTTTTTTTTTAAATATCTATACCTATCGATATATTTTTGTTGGAGTCGGCTGACTAGCTGGGGTTTTTTTTGACAGATTTTAAAGATACAGATTTTAAAGATGCATATTTTGGCAATACGTGTAAAACCACTCAACTCTTACAAATAAATTGACTTCACAGACTTTTTTTTTTTTTTTCATCTTTTCGGCGCACATTTTTTTGAATCAGCTCACATTTTTTGAATATTCTATTCGGTTATTATTATGCTATTTGGAGATATTCAGTGCATAATCCAAAGTTCAAATATTCGGTATTTTCGGTACAGCCCTACAAATAGTTTGCATATGGTCATTGCCTGATTTTTTTTCACACTCTGCTTTAATGCGATATCCCATTTGTATCACATGATTACCGTCTTGTTCACCCAGAAACAGTTAATGTCACCGCATTAGTATGTCTGTTCAAATACTAGAGTGTTATGCAAAAGATTAAAAAAAAACAATTTACTGCCGGTAATCAGAAGGGTCCACCCCAGAGTAAACACTGTGAAAGGCACTCTAGACCAACACTGAATGAGATTAGTGACAGTTAACACTTCTGGAATAAATGCCAAAGGCTGTAGGGGATGAAAGGAAGTTGCTTGCTTTTGTTCTTGATATATCTAGGCTTTATAGTTAGAAATGTGGAGCTGAACAATTGTAGGTAACCCTCATCGACTGGACTTGCATCAATGTCCAATTATTGAATGGCCTAGCATGAACGATCAGCTTGATTCTGCCTGATAAACGTGACCACAGCATGCAGTCATTGTAAGAATGTCTCAGCAACTATTCCTTCACTTTAATTAGTCACTACAAATAAGGCCCAAGACCCACTGAGAGCCGAACACTGAATTGTTATACAAAACCTCGTCAACTGTTCTGTGTTGTCACAAAGTCGACGTGAGGGTGGCCATATCTACCGGTACATGTATGGGGAAACATTGGAAGCCTACCGTACCTATTGAGGCTACGCCTAAGCCCCATGACATACACCTGCCCTAACAATTAGAGCCACCTCCCAGCCCCCTACCCTCTCTGACTAGGGGGTATTAATGTTCTTTGTCATACCACTCTATTGTTCCCTCAGCACTCAGGCTATTTGTATGTTTGTTTGGCCTTTTCAGGCCCATGTTTGTTGAAAGTATCAGGCATTGTTGGGCAGTAGCATTGAGGTGTAATTCTAATTGAATGCTAGCTGGCTTCTGGGTTGTGCTGATAATTGTGTACAGGTCACAGAGCTGTTGACAGGATGCTGTTACTGACAACACTGAACTGATATTTTAGTGGCGGCAAACTGTACATATTCATGAGCAAACACACCTCTTCTGTTATTGGTCGATGTTCAAACTCCCCTGGACATTTGCTAAAATAGTAAAAATAGTGAAGAAGTGATGTAAATTGTGATATTAACGTTGCCCCTTTTAATTTTATAAATATAAGCACCATGTTTTTTTGCATACTGGATTACTGAAACCTTTTTTGGAGAACCTTGAAGTCTACTATAAGGTGTGACTTGAATATCCTACATGAGATTGAAGTGTTCTACTCAGCCCAGCCTCAAGCATCCACATATTTTGACAGCTTTTTTGCCAGCTTTTTCAGCAGTGGGCAATCTGTCTCTTGCTTCATTCCAAGAATACAAGTTACCTAATTAGGATTGTGCCAGCCCTACATGTATAGTCTGGCGCCTGTGATTCAATAGCCCGTTTTCATAGCCTCAGTGCAGCGTGACTTAAATGGCTACTGGTTACAAGAATACTCTGGTGTTATTATCAAACACGACGTCACAATACTCCCAAAAGATCTGCAGTCAGTTGTTAATACCCACAGGAAATCATGGAGACGTGGCAAGGATTACAAAATCTGAAATCTGAACCAGCAATTGGAAATGTTACCCATTTGACATATAACCCCCTTTTTCTTTACTCTTCAGGTGTACCCTACCCGCCCACGCGGAGGTTGCCCATGAAAGAAGTCTTTGATGCCCAGGGTTTTCCACGACCAGATGTCTTAAAGCAACATTTTGTCCTAGAGGGACGCTTACAAGAAGATGTAGCACTTAGAATAATCAACAAGGGGGCAGAACTATTAAGGAGAGAATCGACAATGCTAGAAATAGAGGCACCCGTAACAGGTGGGTCAAACTGGTCATGTGGTTGGTCATGTGATTGGTCATGTGATTTGTGTAATATAGATTGATGCCCAGTGTCTGAGCAGTAGACCGATCTACATTTTGTAGACGCATGTTGGCCATTAAGCACGGCTGCGATAGGCAAAAATGCCATTGTCCCTTGTGATTAGACACTTTTGGATGGACGTACATTTGGCCAGTTTATTCAAATCTTTTGCCTTCCAAAAATATTGGACATTTTAAAATTAACGCCGTCTTGCAAAAAGTTGATAAAATCATGTGAAGGTATGGATTGTAGAGGGAAAAGTCCATCAGGCATGCATCGCAGGCTATCGGCTCCGGGCATGAACAGCGAGGGCGCTTTTTGTCAACTTTCAGGAGAATGTAGCACAACTAATTTGATTCTGAATGTGCACAAAACCATGGCGTCTTTGTATGAGTGCCAAGCGTCGTCGGCAATGCCTTCAAATGTCTCTCCCAGTGGTCTCCCCCAACTCTTCTTACCATTGAGGGGTACTCGTGCAAAAGAGGCCACCTATTTTTGTAGCCTACGCTGCACGGCCTGCATAGGAAAGAACAGATTTGTAGTCAAGTCTGCCGACATTCACAAGTCTAATCTTAATTATGGTTACGAGTATAAGGATTGATCAATGACTAATGAACGTCCCCACAATTCATTTTGATATTTTGTTATTTGACTTGTGACGACTTCACTACAGCGCTTGGCAACGGGAGGATCATACCTATAACAAAACACTTAATGAAAAAAAAATGCTTTCATTTTGCCAGCAACTAACCATGGTCTGTCTTTGCTTACAGTATGTGGAGATATTCACGGCCAATTCTACGACTTAATGAAGTTATTTGAAGTTGGTGGCAATCCCGCATCAACACGCTACCTGTTTCTAGGCGACTATGTCGATAGAGGATATTTTAGTATAGAGGTGAGTATCATACATGTAGCTCAAAGTCAAATAATAAAAGAAAAAAAATTGAATGAAGTCAAAAGTTGGCTCATGCCTGTCAACGGATGTAGCAATATTAAAAAAATTTTTTTTTTTTTTTCAATTATGGATCTGTCTGAACCATCAGGAAATGGGTAATTCCCCTTTTCTTGAAAATGACAGCGTACCGTACCAAGTGCATCTTTCAATCAAGTAGGCTGTTTCATAGTGTTTGTTTCGGTTTCATTTTTGTTTGTTTGCAAATGGTATACAATACCTTTGCAAGGGGTTAAAGATCAAGACGAGTATAATTCTCTTAATGGATCAAAGAGGAACAACCAACTTCAGAGAGGTGCTACCCAGCTAAGCAATTGGTCACTGTTTAGCCTTCAATTTGCAAAGAAAATGATTTTGTGAGTTGTGCGAGAGTAATTACAAATTAGTCACCCCCTGCAGGATCCAAGATTAGTAAACCTCACTCTATGTGCTCGGAAGGCAATTAGTGAGCCATTTCTTAATAATGAGCATCCCACCTGGCCAATTCATTTCTTGAAGTCGGCTGATGCATTTTATTAAACTGTTGTCATGCAAGCGTATCCGTAGGGTCATTGCCCTCTATCTGTACATGTATATGTTTGCTAAAACACACACATGTGCAACCCACACAGTTTTCCCAGTAATAGTCAGTGATCTGTAGGGTCATCTAAGCCCAAGACAGTACAGTTGTATTGGACCATTTCTGAAACTGAGGGCTTATTTCCAGGTTCGGCTTCTGGCCGCAGCCTCATGATATCAGGTCCTTGATTTTGGAGGCCTTTTGCAATTGAATGTTCTTACATTGTATTTGAAACCAGAGTCAGAAGTGTTTCACTTGGTTTGTAAGCCGAAGCCACAGACGAAGCCGCAGTTTCAGAAATGCCCAAAGGAACCCATTGGGCTACTGTGTAACTGCACTGCCCTTTATCCAGACAAAGGTTTCTAAATTTGGACTAGTTGCTATGGAAACCATACTAATTGAGGCTTGCATATCGATTCAGTAGCATGCAGCTTCGGGAATTCTCTCAGGATAAGGGCATGGCCAGAACTTGATTCATCTTAGAATGAACTACATGTACCGGTATGTGTCTTTCAAAGAAATAAGGTTGCTGTTATTCAAGTAACTAAATAATTATTGTTATTTGTTGTTCTACACAAACACAAGCCTTGTAAATTAAAAATAAACAAATATTGACAAACAATTTAATCAGATATACGCACTTCCAGCGAGATGTAAAAGTTGCTGCTGAGCCACAACCTCCTCAACAGCTGAGTGCTCTGGGGTCTATCTCATGGCAGATGCCTAAGGGGTTTAAAAAAGGTACTCAATTTCCAATGAAATAAGAAAGAAAATAAGAAAGACCGTAGACGACCGTGACAACTGGCTGAAAGACACTGGCCTTGGCCTGTCAGCAACTACCTGAGCATACCGCAAACAAAGAGATGCAGAATAAGATAGATCAGTTTCAATCAATATACATAGTTGTTAGTTTGTCCCCTGGATTACTTTCCGTGGAGCTGCATTCAGTTTCCTTGGCCGTTAAAAGCATTCAATATGTCAAGCTGAATAGAACTTGGTCATGCTTGTTGTACAGTACCCAAGATCCAAGTCATAATGTCATCACCTTTTCATCTTCAAGGAGACAAGACGGCCTATCCTCTGCCTGAACTCGCAGATAAAAAACTCCCCAGAGATTTCCTCATCTGCAAAATGGTTCCCCTTTTATCCAACCATAACTCGCTGAGAGGGACATAAGTTCTGCACTTGCGTGTCGATGTAATGCCAGGGCACTCCGTTGATAAAAAGATTTTTACCCTCGCAAGAAAAGGTGGCAAAACACGATATTCAAAAAAAGATAAAAAGCTGTCCGAGTTAATTTCCATCACTGTCTAGAAATGAGGCTGGTTGTCGTGGGAGACCGGCCGTGTGTGTCGTCGTGGCGACCGGCAGTGAGACGGAGTTCACCTTCTCTCTCTCCCCCCCCCCCAGGATAATGAGGTTATGATGAATGCCTGAATGATGGACCCAATACTCATAATGTAGTCTATGGACATGGTTCCAAGTAAGCAATGCATTTAGGGGAGGGAGGGGTGGAGACATCATCATGCACAGACTGTCGTAGGCTTACCCATGCAATATTAATGCCTCGTTGGTCAAAATGCATGATGAAGGACCTGAGGAGGGGGCATTATTGAAGCGACTCCTTGAACGGCTCAAGTAGGGGAATTCATTTACATAATTAACTTGCACTTGCCTTCAGCCATATCTTAACTGGTTATGGTGCATAGCAAATTCCCTAATCCCTGACTTTTGAAATAAAATGTACACTCTAGACAAACATTGCCGTTATATACATGTATGTGTACATGTGGTTTGACATTCTTATCTTGGCAATTGTTGTACATTTACATATATTCTTAAGTACATGTACATGTGTATGTATACATGTACATGATGTACAAGCAAAAGCTGTCTTACTTTTTCTCATATATTTCATTAGATATGTAAATTTGGATATTGAGCAAGATTATGAATATGAGACACAAATGCCAAAACAATTACATTAGAATAATATTATACATTATAACATGAGCAACTCCAAATGAATTATAGTTTTTATGTAGGAACATTTCTTTTGTGTTTCTGATGATCTTTTTTTTTGGGGGGGGGGGGTAAGTGGTGGGGGGGTTTCTTATGTTGCATGCTTACGTTTTGTGAAGTAAACCAAATTATTTGTTTGAAAATGTGTCCGATACGTACATCTACCTGTGTGGCGTCTGTTCCTATTTAGCACAGTATCTACTCTCTGCTTCAGAATGCCCCTATGAATAAGGCCAAGTGTTGTCAAATGAATGATTACATTAGGACACTAATGCTGACTGCTCTTTGCGATGTAGGCATGTCATATCATAGTATTGATACCTTACATCACATGTAAATGTATGTACAGGGTGAGGAAAAAAAACGAAACCCAAATGTTGGGACCATTGTTTTAGTGAAGTACTGCATAACTTTCAAAATCTAGGATATGAAAGTCCAATTCATATTCATAAGCTTTCTTTTAGTACAAGAATCATTCAAATCACTCATGTACTTTTCAAGTTACGGAATTTTAAACACAACCACCGTTTTAAGGTTCTGTCCACGGATCACATAGGGATGTGTGGGTGAATTGTTTTCGTTTTGCTGAAAGAACGCACACCTTATGAGAGGGTTTAACAAATAATCGGGTAAAGGAGTCCGGATTTAATAGGAGTCCGATTGTCATGTATGTATGACACCGGTACCAACACAGAGATTTAGGGAATCCCATTCACACTAGCAAGAATCCAACACGGCTTCTACACTAGTCTGGCTCTCAATTGATGTTGGTAACATTCAACCCTTCATGGTCAAGACCAAGGTAGAGAGGCTCTGCCTGGGTAGAACATCCAAAATCTACAGCTGACCTGTGGACACATCATTTGTTGTAATTGCATGTGAATTTTATGACTTGCCTGCCAGTGTTGGATGACACCAGTTCTGCTTGAGGTAGACCTGTGTTCATTCAAACACGGGCACCGGTAGTTACAATGAAACGCATACATGCATACAATTTGAGTAGTCAGGTTACAATATCGATTTTAATACAGTCAACGATTGATATGTGATCAAGACCGGTAGACCTACACCTACATTTTTTGTACACCTAACCATATCCTGCCACTTCACATTTTGTATCTTCTTGGTTGCTAGGCAAACCGTAGACTTTCATATCATGGTTCAAGGGGCCCCCTGTATGCTACTGAAATCCATTTTATAAACTATAAAAGTGGCTCCTTATTATATTTTTGAAAACATGTACATTGAAATGTTCTGTTGATTATGTGCTCAATCAAATGATCATTTGTTGTGGTCTTGCTTTGAGTGAGACAGATTTATGTTTTTCTAAATTGATTTGTGTTGTGAATAATTTGATCAAATTGGCTGAAGCTTAGCAAGCGTACATGTACCGGTACATTCTGTGCCAAGTTGTTCTTGCAGTCAAAATCAATCAAGTGAAGAGCTCCCAGCCTACATAAAGCAGGATTGATTGGCTGTGACTGTTTATGTGACTTTATACAGCTATACTTGGACTGCAGGTGATTGATTAGCCAGCTGTACCCGGTACCTACATGTACCACTTGCCTGCTTTTGTCTGTTGACTGAATTTGACTAGTCACAGTGCTTGCTTAAAATATGATCTGACTGTTTGTGACTAGCCTGTGTAAAAGGCATGTCAGGGAAGAGGACTGATTTTTTAACTTTCTGTGACTGTTCAGAAGCAGGAGGGTTAGGCAATTTTGTTTTGCTTTATGTACATGTACATGTACATGTACACCTACATGTACCAGGTAGAAGTGTCTTGAAGCTCGTATCAGCTCAACATTAAGGATGAAAATTAAATATGGTGGGAAAAAATGCAAGGTCCTAATAGATACGTGTGTATAATTAAACATGTACAGGTATAAATGTGGAACATGTAATGTTACTGCTCAGCAATTCTCATTCTGACATTTTCTTGAGCTGTGCCTGTGCACACAGGCTAAGGTGTGGACATTTTGAGATCGCGACTCCTTCCCCTAGAGTCATCCAACCTGGAACAGGTTGTCTCAGGCTGTATGACCCCTTCTGCTGTCCTCCCAAAGACGCTAATAGAATCACTCCACCAAGGGGAAAATCCAGTTTCCTTCTTCTTGAAGGCTCTGGTCTGCCTTGATAGATTAGATCTCGCTCGCCTCACGCCATCTTACGGATTATGATTTTTTTTTTTTTGGTCTGTGCTTTAAATTTCTCTGTCGAGGAGGACTTTTTTGCTTGAATGTCTGAGGTCATTGAATCTGTTCGGAGCTACAGGACGAAAGGAAAGGTTGGGTGGAATGGAGAGCTTTTAGAGGGGCTTAGACATGTCAGAGAAGTGTGAGGAAAATGCAGAGTGTGAAAC